ATCTGCCTGGCCCACCTCCAGCCACTTGCTTACATGACCTCTATTTCCCTGCCACCTCTCTACAAGGGCCCCAGAACCCTTTCCTGTCCTGGATTTAGTAGCTGCTCCTGTAGTTTAACAAGGTCATTGCTCACCCGCACTGCCAGGCTCCTCTCTGCTGATGGTTGGCCAGAGAAGCAGCTTGACTTTGAGATGCAGTTGCTGTCTTGGGTCCTTCCCTGCTACCTGCATCTCTTCTCCCACCTCTGAAGGAGGGAGCACTTCCTGACAATGGGCAGGGTAGCAGACCGCGAGTGAAGGGAGAGATGGGGTAGAAACCAGGGGTCGGTGTGACCCAGCCTGGGCTGGAATGGAAGGCTGTCTTGGTCTTACCCGCCATGGGCCCTTCCCAATGCATTGTTTCCCCTTGCAGTGCGGGGAGCCTGGTCCTGCTGGACCTCATGGTCCCCGTGCTCAGCCTCCTGTGGTGGCGGCCACTATCAACGCACTCGCTCCTGTACCAGCCCCGTGCCCATCCCTGGCGAGGACATCTGCCTGGGGCTGCACACAGAGGAGGCAGTCTGTGCCACACAGGCCTGCCCAGGTAACGCCGCTCAGGGCTGGGGAGCGCCAGCCAGGGGTTGCCGAGCGCTTAACTTCATCACAACCCACAGAAGGCTGGTCACCGTGGTCCGAGTGGAGTGCCTGCACTGAGGACAGAGCCCAGAGCCGCAGTCGGCACTGCGAGGAGCTCCTCCCTGGACCCAGCTCCTGTATCGGAAACAGCAGCCAGAGCCGCCCCTGCCCATACAGTGAGATACCTGGTAGGTCCTGGGGTCAGCACCCTCACACCCACCCTTCCCATTTTGAGGCCCCACCTTCTTTCCCATGGTGAAGCATGTCTCCCAGAGAGACCTCATCTTGCCGCAACACACACACACACACACACACACACACTGGGCCCTCTTCCATGCTTCATCTAGTGCTGGGGCTGAACCTCTCTAGAGGTGGCATGTGGGTAGAGGCCTCGATCTTGCAGTTCCAGGCCGACCCAGGGCTCCCCGCACACCCTTCACCCCCCTTCTCTCTGCTGACCCCTCTCTGCCTTGTCTTCCTGCAGCGATCTTACCCGCATCCAGTGTGGAGGAGGCCAGCGGCTGTGGAGGTAAAAGAACCCAGACTCTGCATCACGATGCCTCCTCCTCTTCCTTATGCAGGGGGGGAACCTCCCACTCCCCAATCTAGATTCTCGCCTCCTCTTGCTCCAGACAGCCAGCCGAGTCTTGTTGGGAGGGGGGCCCTGGGCACTTCCATCCACGTCCCCCAGCTACAAGTCCACCATCAAGTCAACACCTAAGGGAGAACCCTCTAACTGCAGACCCTTTGATTGTCACCGCTGACAAAATCCACAGGCGGTCGGTCTTCTGACAGGTGCCCAGTGACAGGCTGCCCGCTCTCTGACTCCTTTGCTTCTGGCCTCGAAGCGTTTTCCTGGATGGGCCAGAGCCTCCGATGGCGGTTGCCACGTGTTCTAGCCCGTCAGGCCCAGGGTGGCGGCTCAGTTTCCGGTCCTCCCAGTGGCCTCTTCTCACTACCTCCTTCTCCCGCCCCCAGGGTTCAGTCTCATCCACTTGGTGGCCACAGGCGTCTCCTGCTTCCTGGGCTCCGGGCTCCTGACCTTGGCAGTATACCTGTCCTGCCAGCACTGCCAGCGTCAGTCCCAGGAGTCCACGCTCGTCCATCCTGCCACCCCCAACCACCTGCACTACAAGGGCGGGGGCACCCCCAAGAATGAGAAGTACACACCCATGGAGTTCAAGGTGGGCGGCTACAAAGGGCTAAGAAGCAGAGGGTCGGGTAGAAGGGCCGGGTGGGGAGCGGGCAAGAACTCTGGGCACAGCTGGGTGAGACCCTCGGGAGGGAGCAGAGGCGGGGACAGGACCATGCCAGCAGCCAGCACGGCCTTCACTGGCTGCTCCTGGACCCCGCGCCCTGGCCTCTCCCCTTCCCCGTCTCTCGCTTCACCCCTTCCTCTCCGCTGCTTCCTCCTCCCACAGACCCTGAACAAGAGTAACCTGATCCCTGATGACAGAGCCAATTTCTACCCCCTGCAGCAGACCAATGTGTACACGACCACCTACTACCCAAGCCCGCTGAACAAACCCAGCTTCCGGCCCGAGGCCTCACCGGGACAACGGTGCTTCCCCAACAGCTGATACCGTCACCCTGGGACTTGGAGTTCTTGCCTTCCTGAGGCACAGAGCAGGTGGTCATGGAACAGTGGAGCCCGTTTGGTCTTCTCCCTCCACAGGAGGCCAAAACTTGCTGCCTTGCCTGGTGGGGGCCATTCCGGCTTCAGAGAGCTCTGGCTGGCGGTGACCATGGGAGAGAGGGCTGGCTTCAGGCTAGCACGTGCTGCCGTTCCAGCCCACCCTGTCTCTCATGGCCTCCCCAGCACCCACCATCCTGCTGACCCACCCCCCTGCCATGTCTGGGCTGCGGACCTGCGGCGCATGTGAGCACTGTGAGAGCAGAGATGGCAGGCAAGCGGGCTCCTTCAGCCTGGGTTGCAAGGACTTACATAAGCCACGTCGGCCCCTCGCCGGCTGGCCCTAGGAAGGGCCTGAGCTACAGCCTGATTGTCTCTGAGAGGAACTTGTTAAATGGCTCCAGTAGCTCTGGGTTCTGGGCCATTGTGGTGCTGCCCCAGTGTGACGTAGGGGACTCAGGCTGGCCCAGGCTTTCCACCCCTGCCTAGCAGTCTGCACTTTGCCCAGGGACATTGCTCCTGTGTGAGGCAGTGATAACTGAGCTGACTAGTGGATGATCTTTGCTGAGAAGCCCTTTCATCTGGGCCAGCACAGGCTCAGCCTCGCCCTCGTCAGAGCGCATAAGAGGTGGCCCAGGAGAAGAGGAGGCACCAGACCACAGGAATCCGGCCCTTGAGTCTCTCTGGAGACTGTCTTCCAGTTGCTGCTCAACAGAGTTGTTAGCCGAGACTTGCTGGGAAGTCTCTGCTGACCCCTCATTGGTTCAGGAACATACCGATACACGTACACACAGGTACATACACAGGAACATACCGATTCATGTACACACACACACCACACACACACACACACACACCACAGTCTGCTCCAGCAACAAACAAGATGTTGGGCTGTGGCGTTATTAATTAAAGATGGTATCCAGTCTCCAAATTGTCTTTGTGCCTGTGTGGGGGGTGCTCTCCGTGGCCCGTAGTCAATCAGCAGTGCCCTGGGCTAGCAGATGGCCTTCCTCAGGCGGCAGAAATGACCCGAGCCCAGTGTGACTCCAATAGAGCGTCTTCCGTTGGTTGCACGCGGACGCATACATGCCTGTGAACTCTTTGGAAAAGAGAAGTCAGGGATATTTGTCAGTCCGACACAAGGTAAACCAAAGACTTCAGGTTTCTGCCCTCCCCTTGGTGGTACTTCTAGGCAGCGGCCCCAACTCCAGAGAGAAGGGTCTGTGTGTGTGAGTCCCACATGGGAGTGCGGCTAAGGGTGAGTCTGACGGATTTGCAGGGCTGAGTTTAAGACGGCCCCAAGTGAGACGTAGGTCCACCTGTGTGTCTGGGACCAGGGAAGGAATGGAGGGTTTTTTTGCCGGATTGAAAAGGCCTCTTCCCACCAAATCACTGCTTCTATTTTGGAGGACATGGATGGACGTGTTGAGAGGAGCCTAGAGAGCAATGCCCTGATCTACTTGGCTGCTTCAACTCTCGTGGGGCTCCCAGCGCAATCTAATTATAGGCCATCCTGAGAGGGAAGCCAGCAGCCCTGGTGGCAGAGGTGGGGAGGGTCTAGGGGAGTGGAAGGTAGTGTTTGAGGAGGAGAGGAAGAACCTTCCTGGGTCCCTGGCCTGGGATCCTTTGGGAGTGCACGAGCCCACCTTTACATCGATGCAGCCAGGCCAACGTGGGGCCCAGGCAGCGAAGCCTATGGGCATTTCTACCATGTTGGCATTCCTGACTGGGTGAGTGTTGGCTCCATGAGTCCAGAGTTTCCGGAATTCTCTTGGGCATGTCAGAATCAGAGTTTTCCGATTCTCTTAGACCTGGGAGAGTCTGTGGAGTTCAAGTGTGTTTCAGAGCCCAGGACGCCTGCCTCTGGTGAGCCACGTGTGTACGTCCAAGTGGAGGGTCTGTAGGAGGAGGTCATGGAAGATTCTCAGGTAGAGAATTCCCATTGGCTGGCGTGGCATCTGTGGGAATAGAAAGCCCTTAGGTGCTATGGCAACCCATACATCCTGAATTCTTACCCAAAGTGTTGCTGGATCTCTGGAGGCGTGGCCATTCAGCATGGTGGGGAATCCGTAGTGCGTGCAGATGAGTTGGCGTGGTTGGCAAAGGCTGCCTGACAGCCAGCCTGGTGCCGAGAAGAGGAACGCAGACCTAGGCCTTCCTGACAGGGAGGGTTTGGTGCTCTGCAGCAGGCACGGGGAGGACACCTCGTGCCGGTGTGGTAAGTGGTTGGCTGCTGACCCGACCTCAGTGGTTTGAACTCACCACTCCGCACCTTTGAAGCTGCAGGGGGCATCTGCAGGGCCTTGGGTTGTAATCAACAGAAGTGGGTTTTAGGCCATGAACAGCAGTAGCGTGTCGGGTGGAGGGTGCAAAGCCAGGGCCTCTACAGCCCCCGCTGACCAGCAGGAGAGGCAGGAAGGGGCACAGTGGGGCTTCTCAAAGTGCCCTGGTGCTCTCTGGTCTTTACAGAACTTTTTTGCAGGTAGACGTATTTTTGGGTTAAAGTAACAGATGTATACTATGGAAAATGTAGAGGATAAACCAGAAATATGAACCAATGCTGGCATGGAGATATTCCTGTCCCCTTCTCTCAAAATTACCTGAAATACAAAGGCACTCTTTTCTTTTTTTAATTTAAAATCATTTTATTGGGGGCTCTTAAACAGCTCTTATAACAATTCATACATCAATTGTATCAAGCATATTTGTACATATGTGACCATCATTATTTTCTAGACTTTTTACTTTCTATTGAGTCAGCTCTTTTTTTCCTCCTTCCCCACCCCTACCCTGGTGACCCCTTGAGAAATTGTAAATTATTATTTTCATGTCTTACACTGACCACTGTCTCCCTTCCCTTGCAGTGTCTGAGGAGGGGGTGTGTGGCTATGTGGTAATCATTGTGATCGGTTCTCCCTTCCCTCCTCTTCCCACCTTCCCCCTTCCTTTCTGGTATGGCTGTTCCCATCCCTGTGCCTGGATTCCGTGTGTCGTGGCCTCTTCTCTCTTAGCAGTATACCTATGCAGGTGCTCTGGTCTTGCCCGCAGTGAGAGGGAGGACTGGAGTCATGATAGTGGGGGCTGAGGAAGCCTCAAGGAACCAGAGGAGTCCTGTGTGTTTCATCGGGAAGGCACCCTATTCAATACAACTAGTATCGGTAATCCCGAACCACAATTCGTGAAGACAGGGATCAGATGGAAGAGCAAATGATGTGCAGGACCCAGTGGTGAGTCAGGCCTAAGCAGCCACCCTTAAGGGGAGCAGCCACACAGAGCCAGATCAGGAAGAACAGGGAATTGTAGGAGCCACGTATTGGGATATGTAGAGGCCCGAATGAGAAGAGTTGGTTAAAAATTGTGTGTAACCTTCAGCTAGACCCCCGGAGTCCTCTTCGCTCTCAACTGCTCTCCATACCCCCAGGGACAATGGTATGTTTCCTGGAGGTAATGTGCTAGGGGCTACCGGCCGGGAGTGCAGTGTGGGGAGGATCCATTGGGACAATGGAGTGACCGGATATAGAACTAAACTGCGATTGAGTTACCACTGGTCTTTTTTATTTTTATTGGGGTGAAATTCATAGGACATAAAATGACCCATTTTTACAGAGAGCAATTCTGTGGCATTTAGTACATTACCTGATTCCAAATATTTCCATCGCCCTTTAAGAAACCCCCATGCCAGCAATCATTTGCCTTTTCCCTTCCTCCCAGCTGCTGGTGGTACCCATCTGTTTTCTGTCTCTATAGATGGACCACTTGGGGGCATGTCACCTACGTGGTCATACAGTATGTGGCTTTCTGTGTCTGGTCTCTGAGGGTGATGGTGTCGGGTCCATCCACAAGGTCGCACATGTCAGTACTTCCCTCTGTTTTAGGGCTGCGTACTCTTTCACTGCACGTACGTAGCCCATCTCTGTTCACTCATTGACCTGTTGATAGACACTTGGATGTTTCCACCACTGGGCTATTAAGAGTAGTGTAAGTCTTTGGGGCCTGTACCTGGCCGTGGGGGCCGAGTTACCTATCCTGTTGAACTTTGGGAAGCACCACTGAATTCTTTCCCACAGCAGCTTCCTTATCTTACATTCCCACCAGCAGTGCATGAAGGCTCCGATTGCGCTATATCTTTGCCAACTCTCACCACTCCCTCCTTTGATGATATCCATCATCTGGTTACTGCCCAGCTGCCTCGGACTCATGGTGTTCAAAGACAGAACGGCCCCCATGGATTTTCAAAGCTGTAATCATTAAGGAAGCAGGTGACCCAACTTTCTACCGCAGAGCCACTGGTGGATTCAAACCACTGAACTTTTGGTTAGCAGTCAAGTGCTTTCACCACTGTGCCACAGTATATAGTCATCCTGATAGGAGTGAAATAGTATTTTCATGTGGTTTTAATTTGCATTTCTTTCAGGTGGATAAATGTTGGACTGCTAACTAAAAGGACAGAGGTTCGAGCTGCCTGCTCTTTGAGAAAATCATGGAGCTGGCTGCTCCGGGAAAGATGTACAGCTTCCAACACCCTATAGAGTGTCACTATGCGTCCAAGTTTACTTGACGGCACTGGGTGTAGACTTTTAAATGACGAAGGAAGGTCCCCGATGGGGCAGTTGGTTTAAGCATTGGCCTATTAACCGAAAGGTTCAAATTCTCCAGCAGAAAGAGAAGGTTTGCTTCTGTAAAGATCGACAGCCTCTGAAACCCACAGGGGCAGTTCTGCTCTGCCCTATAGGAAGTGAGAGGGAAGTGGTAGACAGCAGTGGGCTTTGGTTATGACTAATGAGGTTGAGCATCTCTTCCTGTGCTTGTTGCTAGGTGACCAGACGTCCCGCTTTTGGCGGGACAGTCCCACTTTTTGGCGTTTTAAAAAAGTCCCGATTTTTGGAAAGAATGCACAACAAGCTAGGGAACGATCTATTTGGTCCATATAGACCAAATTTTTAATCAAGTACCCCACCCCCCCCACCCCACCCGCCACCCATGGTGTCCCACTTTAAATCTGGTCACCTGAGCTTGTTGACCACTAGCATATCTTCTTTAGAGAAAAGCCCATTCGAGCCCTTTGCCCTTTTTAAAATCAAATATATAAATATAGAAAATTATATAGATATAAGTATACAGAGAAAATTAACAGATATATAAGTTGCAATTTTCTCCCATTTTTGATGATATACTTTATGTAAAATGTTTTATTCGGTCCAATTTATTTATTTTATCTTATCACTCATGCCCTTGTTGCCACATTTCAGAATCTATTGGCAAATCCTAGGCCATGGTTTACTTCTTTGCTTTGTTCTAACAGTCTCATAGTTTTTGCTCTTATGTATGTTAGTGATTCATTTTGACTTAGATGTGGTGTGAGGTAGCAATCCAGTTTCATCCTTTACTATGTGACTGCCCTCTTGGCCCAGTACCATCGATTGAGAAGACTATTCTTCCATCATTGAATGGTGTTGGCAACCTTGTCAAAACTCAGTTGTCCACAGGTTTATGGATTTACTTTTGACTCTCAATTCTATTCCACTGGTCTGTGTGCCGCCCCTCAGGTCAGTCCATGCTGCTTTGATCATGATAGCTTCGTAAGAAGTTCAAAAGTGCAAAATGAGAGTCCTCCGACTTTATCTTTTTCAGGATTGTTCCTGCTGCACAGGGTCCCTTGAAGTTTTATATGAAGCTGAGAATGGGCTTGCCCTTTCTGGGGCAAAAAGAACATTGGGATTTTTGTAGGGACTTAATTTCCTTTTGAAGTTTTCATTGTTCTTTATAGAAGTAAATTAAATGTGTGTTGGTGTGTACCCTTTAACCTTACTGAATGCACTGATTAGCTTTAATGGTTGTTGTTTCTTTGGGGTTTTAAAAAATATAGTACTACATCATCTACCAATGGAACATTTTTTATTTCTTCCTTTCTGATTTGAGTGCCTT